ATATATTTCTATTATTTTTATTATGCAATATAGAATATTGGAATTTTGCAAACAATCTACAATATGTCAATCATATGCATATACATATATAATTTATTTATTATAATTACTTGTTCATATTTACTCACTTTGAGCGTTTGATATCCAATTAAAAATAATAATTTGAATATACTTTGATTTTTAGTTACTCTCTTTTGTATAAATATACTATGTACCTTAATTTTGTCGTACTTGTACATCTGGATTCATTACAAGGTTTGCAAATTTTCGTTCCCTTAGTAATTCTTTGTATTTTTTTTTTTTGTTAATATGTATGTATGTATGTATATGTCAGGATATTGTGCAAACTTGAATCTTAAATATAAATTTCCATTTTTTGTACGCGACTTACTCTATAAGACTTTCAATGCTTGCGCCAATTTCTTGATGTACATATGTGTTTGAATGTATGTATATGTTTATGATATAAGAAATCTAAGATTATTTTGGTACATATGAGTTGCATCAGTTCAACTGTATCTCTCTGCCTAATCTTTCACTTAAAACCAAGACAYTTTTATAAATAATAAAACGTAGTCACGTAAGTACAAGTAAGACGTAAGTMATTTAGTAAACTCAAGTTAATGAAAATTATGTGCAAAGCGCTTGCTGCGAGACACAAGAATGTCATAACTCGAARACACAGAAATTTACACTGCAATCTGCAAGCTTTGATCTATATAAACCTATACAAATACATACATATATCATATTGGTACTGTTTCAATTTCATCCTATCGGAAAGTGTTTGAAAGATGATTCACTGTGCTTCAGACATATGACGAAAAAGTTCCTCCATATCGAGGCAAAGCAAAGCGAAACAAAATGTATATCAGCTCCCATAATTCCCAACTTTGCCATTTTTGTTAAAAAGCCATATTTTTAAGAAACACTGAAAACAAGGCATGTATTTTAGCAAACTCTTTGCTTTCATCTCTTCATTGTTAAAATATGATCTGCCACGCAAAGCGTAGAAAGTTATATGTGAATCGATCATAACGCTTTTGATAGCTTCAGGTGTATTTTTCACTTTTTCTATATTTTTTTAATTGGAAATTGAACATATCCGTGCCGTAGTGAGACACTCAGCATGTTCCGAGTTCGTTTTAAATTGTCAAATTTTAGAAACATATAAAATTAATAAATTAGGTTTTCAAGGTAAATAACAGACTGCTTTTGTGAGTTTATTTCTTAAACATAGATTGAGTAATTTTATTCGGACCTTTTGTACTTTAATGGGGGCACTTTTGACAATATATTGTGATTTTTTTCGTATTTTTTTAGTGCATAAACTTCAGACRCGTTTTTCTCAAAGCTACTTTTTTATAATCCGTGTTCACCATCATTTCAAAACTACTTAACCGAAATTAACAAATTTTGCACACATATAAAATACCGCCACCCAACGTTTAGTATTTTTTTTTACATTAAAGGTGTTTTTCACCCACAAAATGGCGGAAATTTTAGGGGAAGATGACAGTTCTCTAAATGGGCTCTCTCTGTTACCGGCTTATGCTTCAATAATTCTGCATGAAAAAAATTGTCCTAGACTGTCAACGGTATGCTCAATAATTTACAAAAGGTCAGAATAGAATTACTTAAACCATATTTAAGAAATAAATTCKGAATTTTTTACCTTGAAATCCTAAGTTCTCTCTTAAAGGAAAGCACTGGGTTTAACCGAAAGTCATATGCGTAATAGCACAAGTATTCGTTCCGAGAGCTGAATATCGCGATGACGCAAGATCGACTTAAAGTACTCATGAAATTTTTTTTGGAATTGAAAAGAAAACAAAAAAAGGTATGAAACGACGAGGTATACAGACATCACTCGGAACGATTATTTTGACTTGAAATATTGAAAATTAGGTTATGAGCGTATTTCCAAGAACAGTTACAATAACATTTATATTAAAAACGTTGCCATAAGTGTATGAACTTTGATTTCAAGAATTAATTAAAAAGTATATTCTATTTCGAAATTACAATCAGCTTTATATATAAACTTTATAGATAAAATGAAAATATAATAAATATAATAGTCGGGGCGCTTTTTACTTGAAGGAACTAAGTAATATTGTTAAGTAAGGAATAATTTCAAGACAAAATATTGTTTTTTTTTGCAAATTGCATTTAATTAATTCGTAAATTAATAAAAAAAAACTTGAAAGAATCTCAAATTGCCAACACCAAAATAGAAAAAGTTAGGATCAGTCACGTTTACAACGCAGGTGCTTGATTTTCTTACAGACCCTTAAAAAAACACATATACAGAAGTCCGTCGCAAGATTCATAGAATACGGAAATTAGTCACTCGCTATGTACGGCTGTAAAAGGAATATACGACGACTAAAGAAACACAGTGGACTCTCACAAATTAGAACCAATTTGTTTGTAAGCTGATTCTGATTTCTGAAAAATTATTATTTGCATTCGTAAATATATTTTTCCTGATAAYAAGGCGAAAATCTACAATAATGTACTCTAAACAAAATAAAGAAAATTAACATAATTTTGAAAACACAAATTAGGCTCAATCACCGACGTAACAACTAATCTTTATAGCCGGTTTATTTTTTCGTTTTTAAGATTTAATTTATGCTGAAACAATAATAGCGAATTGGAGAGTCAGAAAATTACTTATGTGCTTAGTAAAAAACTATTCCGTATGATTGCACCATTGTCAAAAAAAATTAAAGCACGACATGACAGTCGAGTCTACCTAATCGGAACGGACTAAACTAAAGCTKTCAGACAATAAATTCGTATAAACTATAGATTGAATTCTAGTTAAATGGCTATGAGACACATTCGAAAGTATTCAGTATTCTATCTTTTCATACTAAACTTCAAAGTTATTATAATAAAAATAATTTGTTTTAATTTCACTAAAATTATCATAAATACATAGTTTTAAAAATGAACTTTAAATTACGTATGCCTAGTAAAACCAACTGAACTAATTCATTAAATTATTTTTTAAGCGCGCTTTGACAGCTTTAGCCAAAACYCGCTCTACAATTCCGATCGCAAAATATGTAGGTACATATGTACTCCTAGGCGAATTGTTATCGTTTGCACAGCTCAAACGTATTCATTTCACACATACATACACATGTACGTATATATGTGTGTATATAATTTTAATCTAAAGTTTTGATGTCAAACATTTGCACTATATGATATGAGATTTGTGCAGAATGGTCACTTACATATACATATATGAGATAAATATTTTATTGAATATTTGCTTTTTACATGATTTTTTACGCTTGTTGCGCCTTATTTTACACGTTCACACATTGGAATATACACAAGTTATTAACTTTAAACGTACTGCCTTTACACAGATCCTAACTAAAATCAATTTCTCTTATTCAATTTTAAAATAAAATATTATAGTAAAAAAGTAAAACGTAAAGAACTTATATGTATTATGACAAATGTGCTTGTATGTGTAAATTTATATGCACGAGTTAATGTTACTATCTGTATCTCTTATAYTTATTGTACTCAGTCGGGTGGGGTGATGTCTGCTGCTTGGCGGCGGCGTGCAGCGCTGCAGCGCTGGYGGATGTTGGMGCAGCCGACAAGTGTCTGTGGGCTTTGGCCACATACATCTCCCAAAGCCGTTGCACCTGCTGGGGATTGATCAAATGCCAAGCGTACAAGAACTCCACGTCATCACTATTCACCGTGTCATTGAGCAAGTTGTCACAATCGGTTTCGTAGAGTATGTATTGGTCGGCGTTTGTGATGGCGATACTCAGATTCTGCGCCAAAACACCCGTTATATGGACGTCATCGATCCAGAAGTAGGTCGACACCTGTGCGGCGTTATATAAAGCTAGCACCACGTCGGGCGAATAGATGATGGCATAGCCGGGACAGTAGGGCGGATAGTACCGGCCGGGGAACTCGCGTGCTGTGACGCGCCATTTCGAGCGGTAGCTGCGTTTGACCATAGCGTTGATGTTGGTTTTGCAGAGTAGCAAATCGCGTGGATGGCGGAATATCATTTGTGCAGCATTGAATTGTGTGTTATTTGTGTGTGTGTGTGCAGCATTGGCATCGGCAGCATTTCGTACACTATTACTGTTGCTCGTACTACTACCGCTACTACTATCAGTGTCTACAATAGTATTATGCTCAAAAGCTTTTCTATCTTTATCGGCGGTTTTTTGTAGAGATATGGCAGCACTGGCTTGAACATCCGCAGCAGCGGCGGCGGCGGCGACATTTTCCACATCACTATTCACAGCAGCACGTTCCAGGTAGATGAGTAGTTGCGGTGTATTCACGTAGACATCGTCGTCGACCTTGATGAGAATTTGCGCCTGCGCACAATTATATAGAAACCATTTCAAAGCCATCACATGCTTATAGGTCATATTGCGATAGCTATCCACAAAGGAACCCTGCACAATATCGCCGTTTTCGAAATTCTCACGCTCTATATCCAACTGCAGCGCTTCGGTCTCGACGTTACCGATCAAAAAGATAATCCGCAATGGCAAAACACCATTCACGGGTGGCAATTGATCGGTATTGCCCCACGTCTCGCGTATAAGGCGTCGCTTCTCCTCATTGGCTGGCGCCGAATGCACTAAGATTAGTGCTTGCACATCCGGACTACAGCTGTTCTGGCTTATAAGGTACGTAAAGTCGTGCAGATCAATTAATTGATGGAAGTCATCCGGTGGAAAACTATACGCTCTCGCATTGCCTATCGTTGTGGTTTGCAACTCTGCAGTGTTCTTCAGTGTTGCCGCTGTGACTAACGGTGATGGCGTACTTTTAACTGAGCTGACACTTCGTAGACTCGTCGTGTGCTCGTTAAATAGGTGTTGACTCTTATTCTTATGGCTAGTACTAGACCTATGCGTACTACTACTGCTACTGGTACTGCTACTACTACTACTACTACTACTAGTGTGGCCGCTAATGTGAAGACTGTCGTCCGCTTTTCGCGTTACTTTGGCAGCGATTTCATTTGCCTCGGCGCTATCGGCTAGAAGATGTTTACCAGCGTATAGCTGTTGTTGTGCTATGGCATTGCGCATCGCGACACCTCTGCGCCACACTGAGGACCGTTGTTCGACCTGTGGTTGCTGCTGTTGTTGGCGTTGTTGCCGTTGTAGRTGCAATGGCGGCACGTAATCGTCGAAGTCTGAGTTTTGCTGTACGTTCGCACTCCCCGCACCGCTGCCGTCGTATTCGACATTCAGCATAGCCGGTTCCTGCATTCGCCATATCACTACGCAGACATTCAACAATACTATTAATCCCCATAAGGGACGACGTTCCAACATGTCCAGCACTGCCCGGCACCTACTCCGGGCATAAATTTCGTGGCGTCTCAAATAATGAAAACGTTGYGTGGGGAGTATTCTCTAACTTGTTTGTGACTTTGGTTAAATTTTAGCTCAGCGCGGTTACTCGCATCGGAAAAGTGSTGTGTTAATTTGATTCTAAAGGTGTAGGTTCATTTCCCAATGTCACCCGTTATGTGCTGATGCAATAATCTTCAGAGTCGTTGAAGTGTAATCTGAAAATAAGAAAGGGTACATTGAATTAAAAATAATATAGGAACCTCAATCAAATAGAAATATATGTATGTAAATTAAATATTTTCTCTTCACATTCATTGTATGATTATATAGAATCAAAAAATGCATACTATTAGTATAAATGTGAATGTAAGTTGTTGTTGTAACGATTATCAAGACCCTGCTTGTGGAAATAATTTAACGGTAGGCTGAGGATTTCGACGGCTTCGGGTCACAGGGAGAGGGGAGTTAAGTGAGTTGGTTCAATTAGGTATACAAAGAGGTTATTAGTGCCATATAAGGACTTTATTCTGGATTAGTAGGAGTTTAACCTGCTACAGTATGCAAAACGAAGTTGTGCAAGGGTCACTCTGGCACTTCACAAACCCAAATTAATTATCAAGTCACAACTTCACCAACCAAACAACCTATAGGGTGGCTGATGAAAGAAGCTATTTTTGTATATATATAATTTTTTTTCTATTTAATGAATCTGGTTAGTTTTTTATTATTATTTTACAGATTGACTTTTACATTTAACAAAAATGGATAACTGGGACGCTGAAACAAGAATTTGGATTGTCCGCTGCTATCACGCACTGGAGTCCGTAGTTTCGGTTCAAAGAGAGTATAGGCGCATGTTTGGCGGCTATCCTCCGAGCAGATGGACCATAATGAGACTTGTAAACAATTTTGCCGAGCATGGGACAGTCAACAGAAGACCTCACCATCGAAACCCTTCTGTTCGAGCGGAGGAAACCATCGCTGCTGTAGCTGCTGCCACACAAAACAATCCACGTGTTTCGACAAGAAGCTTATCTGCTCAAATGGGCGAACGCTGCAGACTTGCCGATTCGCTTGGAATTTTGCCAGAAGATGCTTCAAATGGTGGAAGAGGATGGAAACATGTTTAACTGTCTTTTCTTGTCGGACGAGGCCCATTTCGATTTAAACGGCAACATAAATAAACAAAATTGTCGAATATGGAGTGCTTCCAACCCACAGATACTCCATGAGACGGAATTGCATCCACTTCGTGTCACAGTGAAGTGTGCAGTTTCATCACGCTGCATTGTCGGGCCCTACTTCTTCGAAGAAAACGGTCACAAAGTTACGGTTACTGGAGACC